GCCTGACCATTGCCTGCAACACAGCATCTCTTGTGTGTAATGAAAACTTTAGTGTTTCTGTGTGATTTTTTTGCCCATAAAAGACTGCCTAGTGCCAGTGTTAGTGATGCTAGTGGGGTGAAATGTTTAGAGAGTTCAAAGCCAAGCGGAAACAACTATCTATCACGATGTTTTTTCAAGGAAGAACCAGCTGCTCGCCAAGCTGATTCGTCTCCCTCACTTACTCGGTTAGCTGCTGCCACCGCTCCACCACCTGCCTCTCCACCATCCATCACTGCATCACCCTCTTCCAACAGTTATCCTGATGATCTCCCTATGCTTCAGTAACCATATTTCATCCTACTGTACAGTATACTTTGTCAAGCTCCAAACTTCCACATATGAAGGTAAGTAGTATTGGTGACTTATGTTTCTCATACACAGTATTGTATAGGTATACAGTAGTATACGTTGCTATTAGAGGTTTTGCTAATTTGCGCCATTCCTTGGAACCTAACCCCCGTGAATAGCAAGGGTTTACTGTATAGGTATGAATCAATGTTTGTTAGCTGTCTGTTTACTGCTTAGGCCTATGTCATGAAGGGTGATGATAATGCCTCATGTTGCCTGTGATGCCTCCATAGTGACTGTCAAACCAATGGGAGGACTTGATGACATAGTCTCATAGTGCATATCAGATAATGTTCCGTTGCCAGCACGAATCATGAGATGGTACGTTATATTCATAATTGTTACCTTATCAACTGAAGTAGAAATAATATCGAAATACAGTAAATCATAATGTCATTGTAATTGGATGACATCATAATACACCTGAAATTACTATATTTGCAAATGAAAGTAATATTGGATCCTAGTGTTTCATATTTCGTTCAGAGCGATTTCATTGTAGCCTCGGTTCATGAAAACATAGTTACGGTATATTTCTATTTGGCAACCCATCCCCAGGAGCTGAAATAGTATCTAAGGTGCATAAATCATCAGGGTTATTCATGACATTATTGGCTTTGCAGATGGTATCAAAATTTTTCCTATTTCATTACATTAGGTAGACAATGGGTGGTATACTGCAGTTATCATGGTGATTATCAGGTGCAAGAAGAACGAAAGAAAGGTGCAACTCGCAATCAGAAATACCAACTGAACCGAGATTGCTGTGCATGTGTTATTGTGTTCATTTCTAAATACATCAGGACCCAGGGGGCCCGATACTTTTTGCGGAGAGTGTACTGTACATTGTATTTATCATCGGTGATTTTTAGCTATAGAAAGAGGACAGCACAAACATTGAGATTGAACTGAGTTATGGTGGCTGCAAAGAGATATTTTCTGTTGTTTTGTAACTGTAAACTGCTTTGCCTCTGTTGTGAAAATGGTGCAAGCAGTGTCAGCTGCCATCATTGTTTTTATGCTATCATCATTTGCTCTGTTTTTGTGACTGTGAAGTTAGCAGTGTAACTTTGAAAATGTTTGAGTAGGCCAAGGCATCCAAGACAACCGTGTCTTTGAGGTGAAGCTTTACATTGTGAAGCGGCATGAGGCTCCCCAGAGGCTGTGTGGGAGTCAGAGTGAAGTCTTCACTCTACCTACATGAGTCCCCTTAGCCTCAAAGTGGACATGTGATGATTATCAGGTTTGTTCTTCATGATGTGGTTAGAGTTATTTAATTGCTTTTTACTGATTTAATAAGTGTAGAAATTTTTATGTCAGAGATACACGTGTGTTTGTGGACTGGCTGGGAATGTATCCCATTGGATCCCTGGTTATAATGCTCCCTATTTATGATACAGTCAACCCTCGCTTTACCCGGTCCCACTTTACGCGTTTCCACGTTTACGCGGTACCCTGCCGAACACGGAATGCTCACTTTCCACGGTGCGTGTACCCCTTTACGCGGAGAGCGGCTGGCGGTCCTCTCGCGCCACGCCATTTTTGGATCCAAACCTCCCGCCATCCGCCATGTTGTGTAAGCGGCGCGAGTAGGTTGCGCAGTGTATGTCTTTGTTGCGTTATCGGTGACGTCATATGACGTAGCGGACTGTGATTGGGCAAAGCATCCTTACCTCCCTCCCTGCTAGCTGTGATTGGTTTAATGTAGTACTATGACATGCCCCGCCGCGGGAGCGTTCAAGCCCCTTGACCTACCGCGTCAGTTACACCCCTCCCGGCTACACCGTGTATATCGGTATCCATTGTTCCATAAGAATGGCTTCCACCGGACCACCACCACCACCACAAAGAAACCTTGCATTACCTGGACCCAGCCGCCCTAAGCCAAAGAAGAAACGACGTTCCTTAAGCTACGAAATAAAATATAAGATCATACAAGAGTTGGAGAAAGGAACAAGACAGGTTGATCTCGCGCGCCAGCATGGTGTTAACGAATCAACTATCAGGACAATTAAGAAGGATGCAGCCAAGATAAAGGAGCACATGAACATCACAAAGTCTACAGGTGCTTCTATGATCAAGTATTTCCACAACCAGGTGCTTCTCAAGACGGAAAAATTACTTGTGAGCTACTTGGTGCGTCAGGTGCGACGGAACATGGCGGTGGACACGCGCTCAGTTAAGGAGTACGCACGTGAACTGTATGCTGCAGTGTCAAGAAAGAAGGGAATTACAGAGCCCAAACCCTTTAATGCTTCCTCTGGATGGTTACAGAGGTTTAAGAAGAGGAACAAGATCACCAATATCAACATTGGTGGTGAAGAAGCTAGTGCTGACCGTGTTGCGGCTAGGGAATTTCCTCCGTTTTTACGTGAGATTATGGAAGAACAGAACAGAACACCGATGACCAGGTGTTTAACATGGACGAATCTGGTCTTTTTTGGAAAAAGCTACCTTCCAAGACCTTTGTTGTGAAGAATGCCAGCAAGTGTCGGGGCCGGAAGTTTCAGAAGGAGCGCATCACCGTCCTGTTTACCACCAATGCCTCCAGTACCTGTAAGCTCAAGTTATCGGTGATCCACACAGCACGCAAGCCGCACGCCTACAAGAGCATGGACATGACCAAGCTAAATGTCCACTGGCTGACCGCACGTAAGGCGTGGATGTTCTCTACACTGTCCCTCTCCTGGTTTGATGACTGTTTCATTCCCGATGTGAAGAAATTCTGTGAGCAACAGAATGTGCCATTCAAGATTTTGTTGCTGCTTGACAACGCACCAGGACACTCGCCCCTACTGTTAGATCGTCACCCCAACGTAAAAGTGGTCTTCCTTCCTCCCAACACTACATCTATAATACAGCCCATGGACCAAGAATTGATCTGTAATGTAAAAGCTGCATTCTCTGCTAAAAAATTCAACCTCCTGAACGACTACACCAACACCAAGGAAGAGTTGCGTAACCTGAGTGACACCAACACCGATAGCAAGAGCGAAGACGACAAGGATCAACAGTTGGCAGAGCAAGAAGTACTTTTGAAACAATTCTGGAGAACATTCAACGTCAAGAAAGCTGTGGACTTCTTGGTGGAGGCATGGGATCAGCTGTCTGTAGCAATTGTTCATCACGCATGGAGACATGTGTTGCAAGGCATTCCGGGTGTTAGGCAGAGTAAATCTGTGACTGGTGAGGTTCAGACTGTTGCAGTAGCAGTGGACCTTGCCAGAGAAGCTGCGCAGAGTGTTACAGCTGCAGGCTTCTCCGAGACCACCAACGACGACATCCTGGAGGTGATAAGGGATCCTGATGTGATTACCGACGAGATGGTAGATGATGATGACGTCAGTGAAGAGGCAGGTGGTGCGTCATCCCAAGAAGAACGCCGCTTATCCCATAGTAATGTAAGGGGTGCCATCGAGTGTATTGAGAAAGTTAAGCTCCTCCTTTCCGACAACCCTGACGCAAACAGGTATGAAATCTTCATTACCCAGCTGTTGCAGACTATGGAGCCCTACATCAAGGTTTATCACGACAACATAAACACCAGCCGTCAGCAAAGCATAACAGAGTTCTTCGCCGCAATCCACCACAGCCAGCCCAAACCAGTGATAGTGACAGAGGCAGAGACAGTGATGATGACTTTGAGGGATTTGTCAGGGAGGCACTAGTAAGTGTGGATGACACCGATGAAGACTCACCTGAGGGCCAGTAGCCTGCCCTCTGCCTCGGAACCAGCCTCCATTCCCCTACGCCGACCCATCTCTTCTACTAATGTAAGTGTTAACCCCAACCTTGTTTTTTTCTAACCTAACCTTCAGTTTATTATTCTCTTACTGATTGTTCCCTTCTATATTATATGTGGGTGAATACCATCATAAAGTTAAGATGTCATTTTTAGTAAAACGTACGTATTGTGTCGGGAAAAAGTGGAGTTTGGGGGTCGGCCCGGTCTCTATTTCAATTAATCCCATATGTTATGTTGTTCACTTTACGCGGGCGGCCGTGGGTTCAATTAACCGCGTAAAGTGAGGGTTCACTGTTTTTCACTTCGTGATGGGTTTTTCAGGAACCTAACCCCATCGTTTATCGAGGTTTACCTGTACACACTCTTCATGCTTATTAACTTTGGCTGTTCTATTTACAAGGTCTTCACTTTGTTTACCTACATCCAAATCAGTCCAATACTCCTATGTAAGTGACAACCACGCCACTACCAAATACTTTATGTTCCCTTCTTGAAATTAATTCAATCATCTACCTACAATATATCATAAACACTGTACAGTACTCATAAACATCAGCATTTCTTCCAAGACCCACTACAAGTCACAGCTATGAGTAACTTCTTATAGTAACTGGCTATTTGTAATTACCGCTAATAATGCTGTGTAGATCTGGATTGTAAGTCTTCATTAAGAAAAAAGTTCAACATTTTTAAGCAAAGTTTTCTGTTTAGTTAAAATCATCAATTTCATAAAAACTACAGTACTGTACAAAAAGTTGCATTACTGACTGAAAATCTCATACAAAATAGTTAGCCATGAGAGACATACTTAAATATACAGAAATCTGATGTTTCCTAAAAGAACTGTAAAAAAAAAAAAGCACACCTTGGCAAAGTCATGTACATCAATGGGTCCATACGAGCCTTCACCACCTGTGTCATTCTCCCAGTCATGCATGAGGACTGGAGGAGCTTTGGGGGGATCATCAAGGTAATAATAAGCTCCCTGGAAGAATCTCCTGAAACACAAGTAACAATTGACTGATAAGAAAAATTCAAACAAAGAAAAAAAAGCATCCATAATCTAAAATAAACATTTGGAAAAAGAAAATGATGGTATACAGTACAGTATTGTAATCACTTGTGCTACTGTAACAGCACCTGAATGTTCCCCCGAGTGAAAGTGGCTCCTGTATGGCTAATGGCCCATTAAAGACAGTGCAGATACCATACTGAACCTTTTTACATACACAAGGAAGCGGTGTGGCTGACACTGCACTCTACCACCTTTATTCCCCCAACTGTACAGTTAAGGTTCCCATTCACAGCTGGGTAGCTGGAGATGCTCTTGGCCTGAATCAGTAACCATTCGGATAAGAGGTTGCACTGTATCCACTTGGTCACCACACACCTTTCCTATGCGTGACATTTATTCAAATATAAAATCCATCTGTCATATGAAACTAAATTTAATGCACAAATATCAGAATTAACAGATGCAGATGTACAGCTGTTGATTATTATAGCCCACTGTGGTCATCATGTATACAGTGGAGGTTCATAACATTCCACTGCTGTTATCATTGTATAGTGCCCCATAATCTGGTGTTGCCCACTTGCTATGCAACTAAGTATAACTATGAATATCACACCAGCAGTTATCAGTATACCTGTAGTGACATATATTATCAGATAATCTGAGTATATTGTACTACATTACTCTGTTATTCAGACAAGGTGATGATTGGAGCAGTATACAATTGGTATGTTTTTAGCAGCACCAGCACACAGTACAGTATATGTTTAACTATTTGTTACCTTATTTAACTCAAAGAACAAAGAGTTTATCAATTTTAGAAATTCCTTGTCAGTAAAGATGGAATCAAATTAATATTTAGTTTAAATACACATACAGTATATAAAATTATCCAGAAAAATTATTAACATTAAAACGTCAATTACATAAAGATAATACAGTACAGTACAGTTTATGAAATTTCAGTTTCACTACAAATGTATGGGATAAAATTCTTTTATAATTTTCATTAATACTCATGATATTAAGGCAAGTCTAGTGATAATTTCTCACTAGGTATACACACAAGTTTTAGGTTCTTATATTTACCAATATTCACTAGTGAACTTCTTTCAAAATTTCAATGTTCACAAATGATAAGCAACTTGGCTGTTTCCATAAGTCCTGTTACAGGTTTCCATTTAGCATTCTTCCACTTAGATGTTCAAAATACTTGAGAACCTCTTGGACAATACACAGTTACACTAAAACCAGCTGTAATCTTTAAACCCCCAGAAAATACATTACAGGGTGTATTTTCCATTAACTAATCTAGATAAATAATAATTCACTTTAACAATCTTGGGGTTTTCATACTCAAAGTTGCACATCAAGTCAACAATTATAATAAAAAATATTAATTTGTGTATGAATGCTATACTGTACAGTGTACATGCAAGACGATCTGGCAACTATGTATGTGGACTACACTCCAAAGTCACTATATCAATCTCCCTTTGGTCTTTAAAGGACCAAGGATATAATGCTGACCCACATTACCCACACATTTTCTCGTGGCTTGTGCTGATTTCTCGTTCATCACAGTGATTTCGTTTATTGATAACGGTGTTGTGATAGTTTTGAACCAGGCCTCGTGTTGCTGGCGAGGATAGAGGGGTGGGCAAACGTAAAAAGTACAAGGAGATTACACCATGTGGAGATAGTGTGGTGCCTCCTGATGCCTCTCCCAGTGTCTCTGGCCCTTCTAGCATAAGTGATAGTTTGTCTGGCCCTTCAACAAGCAGTCCTTGTGCTATAACTCCATATGTACAATTATCTTTTGTGCCCGGAGAGAAAATGAATAATCTGTACTCAGCCCGGGCGCGCTCATCAGAATGCACAATTTACTCCGCTATTACATAGCCAAATATTATTTTTTTCACAAATTTCTTTCTATAACTATTTTTTTCTAAATATGCACAGTCCAGTCCAGTCCAGTCCAGTCCAGTCCAGTCCAGTCCAGTCCAGTATACTTTATTACAGAATAAGATTCATCTCCTCCTCCCTCTGTCTCATGTTCCTTTACTGGTTACAATTAAATCTCACATAAATTAATATTTTACAGTCTCAGATCTGTTCACTTATGTTAGATATTTCACCACATTTATTCACATTATAATTTTCTACAACCTATTTCAATGGTTATAACTTAAAAATTCTTCCTAAATCTGTTACATTTTCAAGTCTTACACATTCAAATACTCAAGTCACATGCAGTCTCCATCAAGTGGACCAGATTTGACCCTGTCCATTTTACAAGTATAAGTCAACCTTCAGTCTACAGTAAGTATGTATATCACAATTTATGAAGTACAGTACTGTGCATGTAGTCTGAATTATTTATAAGTAATCAATCATATCATCTTGATCTACAATCATTAATCTATCTTGCAACTGACATTTAAAAAGATAACATTACATATCAAGAGAATACTGTATCACATATTATTCATCAATTTCAAAATGATCATCTATCTTCTTCATATGTTACTTCAGATTTAAAGAACAATCAATGATAACTCCACGATTTCAGAATTTATCACAACATTTGCTTACAAATGCTGAGATAAGCATATGGTAACACTTCCCACACTCCTTAATATACCAATCTTTTACATTTTAGAAGAATATTTACAAATTCTATTACACAATTCTATGTCAAATAACAACATATAATTTGGAACATAAAATTCAGTTTTTATATTATATTAAGTAAAACTAATCCAACTTCGCTACAATGAGAACATCAGACATAGAGCATCATACATGTCATTCCTAAATTCTGAAAAGCTATTTTTGTTCATTATGAACAGTTTATATAGTAGTATAGTTGTGAATTAGGTATTAGGAATACCAAAAAACATTAGTCCTAGATAAAGCAATGTATCTTAAAGCATCTAATGTAAACCCCTAACCCCCGGGCCACCTCACATGTGTTTTGGAGAGAACCTTTGGGTTACCTCATACAGGATCAGGTTTTTGATTTGGCACCAAAATATTTAAATTGACTCACTTAATGTTTGACACATACTGTGCCATTTGGATGCTTTTGGCATCACCTACAATGATGCAAAGAAATTTTTTAGCAAGTATTGGTCATATTCTGGGCAGCAGGGAGAGCACTACATGACCCCCAGCAATGGAATCCCCACCCAAGATAAGTTTAGTAAATAAGATAACCATATCCAGAGCTTGATAACAGATCCTAAAACAGAGATAAATGCAGTCCCAAAATGTACCAATGTCTTAAGAGAGGGCCACATTGACCCCCCCCCCTCTCCTGGCAAAACCCAATGAGCCTTTGAATGCACGACTTCTAAACCTCATCCTGGCCACCACTGAGCTTCATAAAGTAACTAACAAGTTTTAAACTGTGTGTAAGAAAATTTAAAAATTTTAATTTTTTCCTTTGCCATACACTGCCAGATGAGGCTCCAATATCAAAAACATAATGAAGCTGCTCTTTCCTCTTAGCATTTCTACTACAGTACAGTAGGTTACATAAAATTTTGTTTATCAACTAATCCTTAACCTGTCTGCTAAGCATCAATATGGAATTTTATAAAGCGTAAAAGCTGTAAGTAAATTACAGTATTCTAATTCCTTGTAATAAACCACAGTTACATTCCACAATTAAACAATTGTTGACTCTACAATAGTGTATGATACAGGTGCAGTGTGTCAAGTGCACAGACAAGTGACTTTTCAAACTTTTGGGTAGACTTATGGTTGGATAGAAACACCTTGGCACATGCACCTACCCCAATCATTGATTGTTCCAAGTTGTGTGAAGTTCTCTTGAAAATTCACAGAGGAGTTGATTTTACAAACCATTCATAACACACACACACACACATGATTTTTTTCTACTTCCGGATCCTTGCCTCTGGCCCAGCCTGGCTGGGGCCAGGTAAATAAAAGAATATACTGTATTATATTTTTGAGTCCTTTAATGGCACTGTAAATACCAGAGAAGTACTGTACAGTACAACCTACTATATTACAGGACAAAATAGTCTCTGAAGTCACAGCGAAGTATCCAAGAAACCTGTAGAGTAATGTTAAGAATGCTTTCTGTTTGGTAAAAAAAATTATTTAAGGAATATATTTCTGAATTACTGCTAATGACAGATACAGTAAAGTGATAGTAGCACCTAACCTAAAGCAATTCATATCTATGCTCGAGAGAAAGCAGTGCCAGTCCGTTTACACTTACCGCCAGATGATCATAGCAATGACCAGCAGGAAGATGGCGAAGGTGGCACATATGATGCCAGCGATGATGCCGGCACTCATCTCAAAGACCGGTCCAGTTTCTGGGTTAGGCATCTTGTGACAGTCAGGGTAGAGGAGGATCTTGCGGGGGTGTGAAAAGGCTCCCTTGTACGTCTTGTTATTTTCGGAAAAGAAACGCGAGTACGTGCCGCCACGAACCTTCACCTCGTACATAACGTTGTAACTCAAGTTGGTCAGAAGGAACTGCAAAACAAAATTATATCTTGTAGTGCCACACACATTTCTTAAAAACTCTGGCCAAGTTATATTATGCAAATGTATCAACGGTTAGGTCAACTCATACTAATTACCATACAGACTACATGATAAGGTAAGATACTGTAGTAGCATAATTACACAATAATTGTCCCTTACCAGTTAATAAAACATCCACCTTTCAGTACAGTACAGTCACCTATACCTCTTTTTAAAACACACTACAATACAGTACTGTACACATTTCCTTCAACCTGACAACTTTTTTCATCCATACAAGAATACTTTCTGATGGCTCAGCTAACATAGCGGACTTTATCCCACCATTGTCTAACATGTTTAAGGGGTTTTTAACCTAAGAAAATAATGTAATCTTTTCTCATCTAAAGAATGATAGGAGTACTATAAGTCACACATGTCTTGTACAGATGCTCTATATACAATACAGTACACTGTACCTATGTACAGGTATTTTCAAAATACCGCCTGTACTCAAATTTTCACTATACAGTACAGTGATCCCTCAGTTAACGAACGCCTCGGTTAACAAAATTTTGGTTAACGAATTACCTTCCATAAGAATCTTCAAATCGGTTAACGAAAAAAAATTCGGTTAACAAAATTTTTATGAAATCATGTCAACATATTTTCGATTGCTCACCAGCTAGAATATTAGTCCGCCAATACTGTAATCGGTTCTAGGGCTTAATTCTTTCCCATTTGAGTAAATATCAAGAGGGTTGTACTATTCAATAATTTTCCAAGTTTTATATTAAATTTTTTAGTCATTTTAACACTTATTTAACATAATTGCAGTACAGAAACTAGTTTTTGGTGCGCCAATTAGCCACTTGACTCACCCACCAAGGCGTCAGTTTGTATCTCTGGTCAGTGGAGGTAACTTCTTGCTTGTGGCTCTCTTGAACATAAACTATTTTTACATTTTTACAGTACAATTATTGGTCATTCTGAAATTTATTTTACATATTGACAATATATAGTGCAGTGTTGATTTAAAGAAAATAATCTTGAATTACACCTAGTGAACTTAAAATTTTATGGGTGAAATGACAGCATGAAGCATGGGGTGATTTCTCTTCCACCCCCACTTCCTTCTCTTCTCCCTTCTCCTCCACCCCCACTTCTAATTCCCATCATCATCATCATCATCAACCAGGAGCCTTCTACATACACACCTCAAAGTAAGTGTACTTTACTGCATTTATTTTTACTTTGTATGTAATTTTCGGTGGGCTGGAACCAATTACCCAAAACCCCATTGAAACAATGGTTTCGGTTAACGAAATTTTTGGTTAACGAACGACCTTCTGGAACGAATTGTGTTCGTTAACTAAGGGACCACTGTATATATACAGTGGGGTATGCTATAACGAACGGATCCTACTACGAATATTCCTAAAACGAACGGTTTTACCTATAAAATTGAGAATGCTATAACGAACGCAACTCCTACAACGAACGCGGATGAATACCGGACTATTTCGCCTGGCGCATAAATATTGTTGTACCGCGACCCACAACAAGAGCGTCAGGCGCCATCTTTGTCTCATTGTGTAGCCAGTGCACCACTGTTATTGTTGAAATTTCGTCTTTTGATGTGGAAATTCGCGTTATTTGTATAACTATTTTGTTATACAAGTATACAATTGTAACAATGAGTTGTCCAAAGCGAGTGAGAAAGCTAATAACCCTTGAAACTAAGAAAGAAATTATAAAGAAACGTGAGAATGGAAGAAGCATTATAAACTTAGTGATGAATATGGGATGGCTAAATCGACTATATGTAATTTTGAAGAATAAAGAAGAGTAAAAACTGTGCAAGTGGCTAAGGGAATCTTTAGACTTAGCAAAGCAAGGTGTAATGTGATTGAAGAGATGGAAAATTTACTCTTAGTGATAAAGGAGAAAGAAATGGCAGGTGGTAACATTAGTGAAGCTATAATTTGTGAGAAGGCTAAACAATTGTTTGAGGACCTTAAAGCCAAGACTCCCAGTGGAAGTGATAGTGATGTGCCAGTGTTTAGGTACCTGCATGCTGAATAACACTAAGGTAAGATAAAGTACCGTATTTACATTTCACAGAATTTTTTCAGTGTTAGCGGTTGTATTTGGGGGCCTGAACGGATTAACTTAATGTTGTTCTGTTATATACCTCACTGTATATACAGTCAATTAAACTCAGAGTCCACAGAAACGAGAAACGCCAGAATGAAATAACAGAACATATGGGATTAAATGAAATAGAGACTGGGCCGACCCCCAGACTACCCTTTTTCCGACACTAACACGTGCGTGTACAGTAAAAATAACATCTTAATTTATGCACACACAATTACGTTAGTAGAAAAATTGGCTGGGCACACGGGATGGGGTTGGTTCTGAGGCAGAGGGCAGATTATTGCCCTCACCTGTATCACTTGTATCACCTGTATCACTATCCACCACAGAGGCTTGCAGGCCTCTTTCAAACCCTCAAAGTCCATATCCTCACTATCACTTGGGCTGGCGGTGGGTGGCGGTGAAGAAACCTCGGTAATGACTGGGCTACCTAGCGCACTTCTGCCCGCCGCTCCTCTGCCGTAAGTGATGGAATATACCGCGCAACTAATAATTGCCGGTCTGGCCAGGTGCTGCGTAAATGACCAACCGCATAAAGGAAATCCGTGAAATTGAGACTATACTGTACTGTACTCTTCTGGCTTAAGAAGGTAAAACAGATGTTGTGAAAACAAAGGAGAACAATAGTCAAGATGCCAGTTATGATATTACAGCATCTTCATATTGTCTCCAATATTACAAAGTCTAACTCTTAACTTCACAGCAGCAGACTGGAAGAACAGTTGGAGAGCTACTGGACACAATAATTGTGGAGTTTACAAAGAAACATTCACATAAAATTCCCAAACACATTGATAACTATTGGAGACTGAAAACTTTATCACTGGGAAATCCAAACATGTTTTGTCTACATGTTGAAGACTTATATTTGATACACCAGTTATGCCAGTGTTAAGTTCCACTGACTACTTAATGAATTCAACATTGTAAACTCTCAAGATATTCTATCCTTAAGATTTAAATGAGACAAGTTTGAATACAGTTCAGTATCATCATCTCTGTCATGTATGGTAAAAACATGAACTTGCCATCCTTAAACAATACAGGTAACTCCCGAGATATGATATATCACTTTAAAAATGGTTATAAATTAACACCATCTGACTATATACAATAAAAAACCACCAACTGACTTTCTGCCTCATTTACACACAATTGCAGGGTCTCAATTGTTTCTCTTACTATTGACAAAGCAACATACAGTGTACTTACAGTATATAATTTCACTATTGATATTTTTTTCATTTGTATTTCTTTATGGTTCTTTATTATTATTATTATTATTATTATTATTATTTATTTTTTTTTTATTATTATTATTACATTTCGCCCCCAGGCCCAGATGTGGGTCAGTGACGGTGGGCTAAACTCTCGTAAAAAAAAAACACATTGAAATTCATTGTTTGAATAGGGTGATAGTGTGGCAGGGTGAGTGAAGGAGGCGGTGGTGGAGGAAGTATTGGCAGGGTGAGTGAGGGAGGCGGTGGTGGAGGAGGAAGTATTGGCAGGGTGAGGGAGGGAGGCGGTGGTGGAGGAGGAGAGTTGGCAGGGTGAGGGAGGAGGTTGATATCCCAGGTGGCGTCCTCTCTCAGCTTATGGCCAACACCATCAACACCACCACAACCACCACCACCATCAACACCACCACCATCAGCACTACCACCATCACCACCATCAACACCACCACCATCACCAACACCACCATCAACACCACCACAACCACCACCACCGCCATCAACACCACCGCCACCATCACCAACACCATCACCACCACCACCATCAACACCACCACCATCAACACCACCACCATCACCACCACCGCCAACAACACCACCACCATCAGCACTACCACCATCACCACCACCATCAACACCATCACCAACACCATCAACACCACCGCCACCATCACCAACACACCACCACCACCACCACCGCCATCAACACCACAACCACCACCACCGCCATCAACACCACCGCCACCATCACCAACACCATCAACACCACCACAACCACCACCACCGCCAACAACACCACCACCATCAGCACTACCACCATCACCACCATCACCACCACCACCACCATCAACATCACCACCACCAACACCACCACCATCAACATTTTCCGCCATACATAACATCACCATCACCCATCATACACAACATCACCATCACCCATCATACACAACATCAACATCACCCTTCATACACAACATCACCCATCATACATAACATCAACATCACCAATCATACAAAACATCAACATCACCCGTTATACACAAGATCAACATCACCAGTCATACACAACATCACCCATCATACATAACATCAACATCACCCATCATACATAACATCAACATCACCCATCATACATAACATCAACATCACCCATCATACATAACATCAACATCACCCATCATACATAACATCAACATCACCCATCATAACAACATTACCCGTCATACATCATCAACATCACCACATACACAACATCACCCATCATACAAAACATCAACATCACCCATCATACATAACATCAACATCACCCATAATAACAACATACCCGTCATACACATCATCAACATCACCCGTCATACACAACATCACCCGTCATACAAAACATCAACATCACCCATCATACACAACATCACCCATCATACACAACATCACCCATCATACAAAACATCAACATCACCCATCATACACAACATTACCCGTCACATCATCAACATCACCCGTCATACACAACATCACCGTCATACAAAACATCAACATCACCCATCATACACAACATCACCCATCATACAAAACATCAACATCACCCGTCATACAAAACATCAACATCACCCGTCA